ATCTTCCTGGCCCCCAGACTTTCTTAAAGGGGGGGCCTTCTTTCTGAAGGTGAGGGTCAGGGGTAGGGGTGTGTGAGGTATTAGGTTCAGTCACCAGCACCAAAAAACAAAACAAAGATACTTTGGATATGATCATTTTTCTTTAAAGGAGAGATGAGCAGAGACTTTCCCTGTCTGAGAGAAAGCCCAGACACGCCAAGCCCCAGAGGATCCCAGAGAGCTCAGGTGATTGCCATGGTCTAGTCCAGGATCTTCAGAATCTCACTTTTAACCATGCTGTCTGGAGGAAGGGACATTAGTTCTCAAAGACAGGAACGAAAGGGACATTTTTGTGTGTGTGCTTTTTTTTTTTTAATTTTAATTTATGTATTTGGAACAGGGTCTCACTACGCAGCTTGGACTGGATCGACAGCTGAGGGTGCCCAGGGTGCCAGGCCAGTGCAACATGTGGTAGTGGGGATCAAACTTATTTTTTTTTTTTAGCTTTTTTTTTTTTTTTAAATTTTATTTATTTATTTGTGTGTGTGTGTGTGTGTGTGTGTGTGGCCAGCTCAGCCCACCAGGGGGCGGGGCTGGCTGGCATGTGGTGCTGGGGGATTGAACCGCGGTCCCTGTGCTTTGCTAAGCCTGCTCTAAGTAGGTGCTTTAGACCACTGAGCCATCTCACCAGCCCCCAAACTTATTTTTGAGACAGTTTCACTATGTAGTTCAGGCTGGCCTTCAGCTCACTATGTAGCCCAGGCTCGTCTTGAACCTGTGGCAATCCTCCTGGCTCAGCCTCCGTAGTACTGGGATTACAAGTGTGTGCCACCACACCAAGCTGAAAGGGACATTTTAAGTAGGAAGAAACTAGCTAGACAGTCAGCAGCTGCTACTTGCCTATGTTCCCTTTATCCTGCCTAAAATTGAACTGTTGACAACCACAAATAGCAGCAGAAAATTAAAGGAGTTGGGGCTTAGAAGTGCTGTGGAGATTGAGGGGAGTTGTAGTTGGAGTCTTGAAGAAAGGACTGAGTCCTTGGGGGCAGAGAATTCATGTAAATCTTCCTTACATTCTGTACTGTCTTATGGTAGGCCAATATGAATCCCTATTGGGCCTTATATCTTATAAGAGAGAGGGAAGCGGCCAGCACCTTTCTCATTGTCACCTCTACCTTCCCTAGATATGTGCAGGTGAAATTTGTCTGTACTCGGACCCAGTCACACAGGAAGAGAACACAGGAGGCGGACATGTGCCCAGCATACTTGCTCCTGCGGTACAATGAGAGACTAGATAGACTATTTATCAGTGAACTAAACACCCATCATGTCCATGTGGATTCCAAAACTACTGCTCCTGGAGGAGACGCCACTGGCAAATCTCAAAAGACAATGTGCTTGCAGAAAGTCCAGCTTGTGCAGCCCACAGTCAAGAAAGACCTTGACATAGCCGAGAAGTCCCCAGTAGAACCATCATTTTGCCTAGATAAGATGCAGGTGCCCTCAAAGCCAGAGCAGGAAAGCATCACTTCTTCTGACCTGACAAAAATAGCAAAAGTGATGAAGAACTTTCTTAAAGTAGATGAGGGCTCCATGGCTTCCTTCAGTGTGGGCACCAACCAGGACTTAGACCGACTCAACTTCCAGAGCAGCAAAATGAGTGACCTTTTCATCCGCTTCCCAGAGAACCTCTTGCTGCACCGGGTGGAGAACACCCAGGGCCATATCCTCTATGCTTTCCTGGTGGAGAACAAGGAACGAGAGGGTCGAGTGGTCCACTTCTCTGTGCTCAAGGCTGAGACAGCCACTTCGGTGGCCAAGATGCTGAGCATCTTCACAGAGTTCAACTCTGATTGGCCCAAGGTCAAGGTGATCTTTGTGGGCCCTTCATTCCCTCACCGGGCCATCCTGCAGGAGATCTTCCCTGCTGCCCGGATCCTCCTCTCCATCTACCACACAACCCGGCTCTTGGAGAAGAAGTTACAGCGCAGTTCAGCAGATCCATCCTTTAAAAGGCTCATGAAGGAAGCCTTGCGGGAAGCTGTGTTTGTCACTTCTGATACTAACGTAAAACATCTCTGTCAGTTGTCCCAAACCCTCCTGGATAAGGATCTCTTCAGCTTCCTGCAGGCCCACTGGTTCTCCTGTGAGCTACTATGGTACATGCATGTCAGGAAAGGCCTGCATGCGTGCAATACCTACATGGACAGCCTAGACATTGTCACTAGCAAGGTGTCAAACCTCTTCCGGGAACAGCGGTCATTGCTAGACTGCATCCTCTGCTTTGTGGATTACATAGACTTCTTCAATACCAAAGCCTTGAAGAACTTGCCCACAGCTCCTCCCAAATTAAAGAGAACACGGACTCCAAGCATGCCACCAAAGGCCAAGAAACCTTTTGGAGTTTGTAGAGGGATCCTCACCAGGACACCTTTAGAACAAACAAAGCCAGATTCCCAGCAGGTTCTATTGCAGCAGCAGCACTCCCAGGGTGACATGCTGGACAGCTTGCACCAAAGTGGCTCCGAACTGGCCTACAAGCTGTGCCACAACGAGTGGGTGGTGGTGCAGAATTCCACCCACCTGGTAGAGGTGGCTGGCTCCTCAGTGGATGTTCAGCTGTTAGAGGACTCTCACAAGGTTAGCAAAGATGGCTGTAGCTGCAGCTGTTCCTTTCAACAGCAGTACCACCTGCCTTGCCGGCATATTTTGGCCCTGCTGCACAATAGCCAGCAGCCAGTGGATGAAGCTATGGTGTGTCGCAGGTGGCAAAAGAAGTACCAGCACCTCCTTGGGCCTAATGGAGAATTCCAGGACCGTGGTATGATCCTAAACATAGACCAGCCTGAAAATCAGGGTCGGAACGACATGATTCAGGACTTAAGCAGGGAGTTAGCAAACCTGCTAATGCAGACTGAGGGGCCAGAGCTGGAGGAGCGCTGTTCCACCCTGCGTAAGATTGTGGACATCTGGACTGATCCCTGCCAATCGTCTGAGTCCAGTCAGCAGCCAGGAGACTTCAAGGATGTGGGTTCTCTCCCTTTTCTCTGGGGAAAGCAAGAGGAAGGGGAGAAACACTCTCCTCTTGAAGCCACAATGCTTGATTAAAACACTTGCCTTGGTACATTGGACCACAAACCCCTCTTTTTGGAAGTCTGAGAGTTCAAAGTAGGCAAGCCATGGTAGGGGTCAGTATTTTAACCAATACTTTCCTAGATAGGGCTAGGGGGATTGTTAAATAGGGAGGAGAGGAACTTCACTGGGTGATAGTCCTTTGAATCTGCCCCATTTCAGCCCTATCTTGGCATTCCATTCCATAGGCACCTCATTCGTTGTTCAAAGCCAAAGCTATGTCCATGTTTAAAGGTCATCCCTCTTCTCTGACCTTTGAGATAGATCTTATTCTCTCCACGGAGATGAATTTGTGCCCCAGGATATGATAAGACAAAATGAGCCTTGTAAAAAGACCTGTTTTCAGGGACAAAGAGAAGGAGGGTGATCCTTGATTATTGCTGCTGTTTATGAAGAATCTGTCATTTGTATCTATTTTTATTCATCTTAAATAAAGTTTTTTTTAAAATATGCAATTAAACAAGGGAAATGTGTTCTACTTGATCAGGGAAAGAGGAAGAATTGCACAACAGGTCTCCTGGGTTCATTATCTAACTTTAGAGCTGGGTATGGTGGTACGTGCCTGTAATCCCAGAACTCCAGGGGCAGAGGCAAGAGGTTCTCTACAAGTTTGAGGCCAGCTTGAACTGTATAGTGAACCCTTTACTCAAAAGAACGAAAACAATGAATCTGTTAACTTTAAAAGAAATTGAGCTAAGCATGGTGGTACATACCAATAATCCCAGTACTTGGGAGGCCGAGACAGAGTCGCCACAAATTTGAGGCTACCCTTGGCTACACGAATTATAGGCCAGCCTGAACTACATAGAACTACAATTGAACTGCAGTTGAGGTTGTGGAGCCAAATAGGACCAAATGCCTCAACTTAAAAAAGTTAGCAATTCACCACTTATTTTGTCTTCTTCTTACCTAGCCTTCAGTGTTGATTTTTGGTTGCCTTATAATCTAGTAGTAAGAGTTCATATAGACTTGAAGAAACCTGAATTCTACATATGACTGCCAGAAACTTGCCTGGAGACTACAGGCAAAGTCCCTAACCTCTTTGACCCCAGTTTCCTCATGTATAAAATTTAGGGTGTTCTATTCTAATCCCCGATTTCACCTCTAGATCTATATAAAATTGTCTTTGCAATAATAACACCAACACTTGGTGGTGTTAGTTGGTAATCTTAACTACTTAAAGCTTGATAACCACCAACTTTTAAGACTGCCTTCAGGGGCATCGAGGACAAAAATGCCAAGCAGTTGACTTGCCCTAATTCTTAGACCCCTGAAGTCACACCACCACTATGGACCTATTTTGTAAATTCTAGAGGGAGCTGGGCTGGACAGCTCCAAAATTCTACTCTCTCTTTCAGATCTGGATTTCCTCAGTCTCAAGGGTTGGCTTCCTGATCTCTGTTAAGAGTGGCAGAAATTGAGGCCTGGGCCTCAGTTTCCCCACAAGGAAGAGTCCATGGTACAATTACACTTGGATTCATTTCTCAGACCCGGGATTAGAGTTTGACATTACCACCACCACGCAAAAAAAAAAATTCAGTAGAACATTTTTGATTTTGGCCTTTAAGGGAACGTCTATAGCAATGTGCATTTCCTGTCGTCTAGGCCGCAGGAAAGCTCCAGAATTCCAGTCGCAGCGTTCACACGCCAGCGACCTCTGTCAGGCTTTTCCTCCATTACCGCCCGCAGGCCCCTGGTAACCCTGGTAACAGTACCCGCCCTCGCACTGCCGAGCTAGGATTGGTCCATGGCGCCCAAAACCTGAAAACGAACTCCTCAGATCATTGGCTTGAGTCACTGCAATTGAGCGCCGTGGTTGGTGAACCTACAGGTCAGTCAGTTGGAGGGCGGATCAAATAGAAAGGGCGATGCCGCCAAGGTGTGGATGAGTGGGATTCTTCCCCCCCGGAGTTGAAGGTGGGTGGGAAGCTCCTGGTCTCTGCTTTCAGACGTTTCTCAGCACCAATAGAGCGGGAGGTTAACTGCTGTGACTCCGCCGGACTCCAAACGCGAATGTCAGACATTCCCATCTTTCACCCGGGTTAAAGGTGAGAGGTCAAAGGCCGATTTCCCTTTCTTCCTGGCTTTTGGACCCCGTGGGAAGCTCTGAGGGTCTTGAACCGAAGACTTGGCTTTCAGCTACCACCAGAGGAACAGTGAGCTAATTCCTTAAGATGTTTAAGCCTCAGTTTCTCTTCTACAAAAATGTGAACAGTAACCCACTTGGGGGCCAGAGGGAAACATTTCAGTGGAGCCTTTCAGCTAACGAGTATGTGCAGAGGCAGAGACAGTGCACATGTTAGCCTCTTTATGGTGGAAGGGATTAAAATCCAAGAGGGTCCTTGACTTCCCCAGCATCCCAAAGCAAGTTTGGGGCAATTACACTTTTTATTACAGTTGTTGTGTTGTTTTGTTTGCTTCCTTTTATATACCAGCACGAAAGGAAACAACGGATGCCTTGAAGTAATTTGTAAACATAAAGGCCAAACAAATATTTAGAATGCTATTTTAAAAGGGAAAGGGGATATGGAACTCCAAACTTTACATCTATTTATTTGTTGTGACAGGGTCTTGCTATGTAGTTCAGGTTGGCCTTGAAGTCACTATGTAAGCTCAGGTCTGACTGGAGGCTATTCTTAGCCTTCAGAGTGCTGGAATTACAGGTGTGTACCATCACATGCATAATTTGGGCCGGGGTTACTGGGGATTGAACCTAGGACCTTTGCACTAAACTACATCTCAGCTCAGCTGCTTTATTTTCATTGTGAGACAGGAGCTCACTAAATTGTTAAATTTGTCCAGGCTGGGCTCAAACTTCTGATCTTACTCAGTCACCCAGAGTGCTGAAATGTACGAATGTGCCCCATCTTACTCAGGCCCACAGCAATACTCCTGCCTCAGCCTCCCAAAATTATAGGTATGTGCCATCACACTCAGCCCTGAGAGACCTTTCTTGACCTTAATTAAAATATCCCATGCTGGGCGTGGTGGCACACACTTCTAATCCCAGCACTGGGGAGGCTGAGGCGGAAGGACCTTTCGAGTTTGACAGCAGCTTGGGCTACAGTGAGCTCAAGGCCAGCCTGAACTGCATAGTGAGACCCTGCCTCAAAAAGACAAAAAAATAAAAGAAAATAAAGTATCCCCTCTTCCCAACTCAGTCTGACTTGTTACTCTGGTTTATGAGTTTTGTAACCCTCATTATCTGATATATCCTTGCCTATTTGTTACAACAGAACAATGCTGACACATGTTCAACAAATATTACCTAGATGAGTAAGTGAAGAGCCAAGTCCCTACTGTCTCCTTAAACCTTTGTTCTTTCTTATAGGTGCATCTTTGAAACAAGATCTAGAAACCACAGCCCAGCCACTATCCTTGACTTCCTTGGGAGTTTCAAAGCGTAGACAATAGTCCTGCAGAGAATCTGTTTTGAACTGGGCATTTAGCCATCTCCTGTCTCCCCATGGCCCTAGCAATGCTGAATGGGCATCTGATTAAAGACTCAAGCCTACCTGTGCTGCTGCACCAGGTTAGCAAGACCTGCCAACTGGATACCTTCAACTACCAGAACTGCTTTATGCAAGATCTATTTTCCCATTTCCCTGAGATCTTATTTATCCACCGTACCTATAACCCAAGGGGCAAGGTGTTATATACCTTCCTGGTGGATGGACCTCGAGTACAGCTAGAGGGTCCTCTTGCTCGGGCAGTCTACTTTGCAATTCCTGCCAAAGAAGATGCCGAAGGCCTATCCCAGATGTTCCAGGTGTTCAAGAAGTTCAACCCCGCATGGGAGAGAGTCTGTACCATCCTGGTGGATCCCCACTTCCTCCCGCTGCCCACTCTGGCCATGGAGTTCCCCACAGCTGAGGTCCTGCTCTCAGCCTTCCACATTTGCAAATTCCTACAGGGTAAGTTATATCAGCTGTCCCTTGAGCAGCCTGTGGAAAGGGTGCTTTTGACCTCCTTACAGAGCACCATGTGCTCAGCTACAGCTGGCAACCTGAGGAAGTTCTTTACCCTCCTGAGCAGTTGCATCCCCCCAGCCCAACTGGCTGAGCTTCACTCACACTGGCTGCTCAACGACCGCATCTGGCTGGCCCACCGCTGGAGAAGCCGGGGTGAGAGCAGCCGCTACTTCCAGAGCCTCGAAGTCACCACCCGAATTCTCAGTCAGTTCTTTGCCACCAACCCATCTGAGAAACAGGGCCTGGCCTCCCTATTCCAATACATGCAGCAGAACCCTGGAGACAAGGCAAGCTGCAACCTGTGCCTGAGTCCGCAGAAGAATCATACCGCCTCAGATGCCAGGCCTGAAACCCCTAAAGTAGAACAGTTGGTAGAAGCTGGCATCCAGAATTCCCTCAATGCCATCTGCACAGGGCCAGCAGCCCAACTCTGTCTGGGTGAGCTTGCTGTGGTCCAGAAGTCCATGCACCTTATTGGCTCCGGCTCAGAAAAGATAAACATCCAGATCCTGGAGGACACCCATAAAGTGCAGCCCCAGTCTCCTACCAGTTGCAGCTGTTACTTTAACCAAGCCTTCCATCTGCCCTGCCGCCACATCCTAGCCATGCTTAGTGCACGCCACCAGGTGCTCCAGCTGGACATGCTCCCATCTCAGTGGACAGCAGGCTGCGCCACTAGCCTCGACAGCATCCTGGGCAGCAAGTGGAATGAGACTCTGGATAAGTACCTGGCAGTGACTCTCCTCACCGAGGAGGTGGGTCAGCTGTTACAGCACTGTAGCAAAGAGGAGTTCGAGCGGCGGTACAGCACCCTGCGGGAATTAGCCGACAGCTGGATCGGCCCTTACGAGCAAGTGCAGCTCTGATTCCTCTTGATGTTGAGAGATGCACACACACACACACACACACACACACACACACACACACACATCCCACTAGTATCCTTCCTTACACACACACACACAGTTGCATTTTCATAGTACTTCCTTCCCAAATAGGGCCAAGGGACTTCTACTCTACCCTAGGCTGCTACCTCACATATGTCTAGCTCTATAAGATAGAAGTCAGCTAATTTTTTCTGGAAAGGGCCCAACAGTAAATATTTTAGAATGGATGGTCATATATATTTCTTGTATATCCTTGGTTTGGTTTGGACAACTTACAAGGACAAGGTAAAAATGATTGTTAGTTTCAAACATCTTATACGGTATGAAATAAGGCGGGATATGGTGGTGCACACCTGTAATCCTAGCACTCAAGAAGCTGAGACAGGAGGAGGACTGCTGCAACTTGGAGGCCAGCCTGGGCTACAAAGTTCAAGGCCAGCCTGAACTGCACAATACAACCCTGATTTAAGAAGACAAAAAACTGATAAGACATCAGGTGGTGAGGTCAGGGCTGGGGCTTGGTACCAGCTACCCTAGTCACAAGAAAACTCACCTGACCCATATCCCATGGCTGAGCTGGCCTACCAAGGGGCTGCTCAGGGAGGTGGCTCAGCCCAGCTCAGCAGTTTTTCCCCTGCTTCATTTTGCAATCAATAAAGTTGAATGTTGTATATTTTAACGCTTGTATGTTTCTGCCTTATAGGTGACAGTTCAGGTATGTTGTGGAAGGAAAGGGTTCTTTCCCTGCTTTGTTACAGAGGCCTGCTTCTACCTTTACCAGTAATGGGACTGGGCAAGTCAGTTTTCTAAGCCTTCATTTGTTTATCTTCATATATAGGTATTCTGCTGGGCATGGCGCTGTATATAATCCTAATACTCAGGAGGCTGAGGCAGGAGGCTTGCAGCAAGTTGGAGGCCAGCCTGAACTAGTGAGATCCTATCTCAAAACACAAATACACAAAAGAGCATCCACACAGTTGGTCAGATTAAAGAACAGCGGTCTTTTACTTGTCTGAATGTCTAGTGGGTGATTTTCCTTCCTTGCTGATTGACCCATCAGCTGTCTTCAACAGGCTGACAAATTTAAGGCAGTAAGAAAGTTTACAGTAGGGGCCGGAGAGATGGCTCAGTGGAATAAGCGCTTCCCTGGCAAGTGCAAGGGTCTGAGTTCAATCCCCAGTTCCACAAAAAAAAGAAAAAAGAAAAATTCACATTGCCTGTAACTTTTTTTCTCCTGGTCCTGGGCATTGACCCAAGGGGTTCTGTCACTGGACTTCATCCCTACCCTTTTTAATTTTTATTTAAATACTAGTGATTGAACCCAGGACCTTCACACAGGTACATCCTCAGCCTCTTCTCACTGCATTGCCCAGGCTGAGCTCAAACTTATGATCCTCCTACCTCAGCCTCCCAGAATGTTGGGATTCTAGGTGTGTGCCACCACACCTGATTTCATTTTATGAGACTGGATCATGCTAATGGTGGACCTTGAATTTGCAACCCTGCTCCCTCATCCTTCCAAGTTGCTATTAACCACTGTATGTGGGTATACAACAGGCCAAGAAGTTCAAGACAGTAGTTTTGAGCAGGTCTTCAGAAGTCTTCACTTTCCAAGTATGGCCCTCTGCCCAGGTAATTTTAATTAGTCTGTCTGATCAGACTCAGTGGTATCAAGAGAACTTTTGTGGGGCCTGGACACTAATGGACAGGAGTATTGTTTCACCACCCACCCAGTTCCCATTCCTCCCATAGGCTCCCAACCACTCTGTCTACCCAAAAACCATACAGAGAAGCCACCTGTGTGTCTGGTGCTATTTCATCCAGCTACAAGCAGGGGCCGGGAGGCTGGCCCCTCCAGGATCTCACTAGGGGCATCTCCCCAAAGGCTCTGTGAGCCTGTGTCTGTACCCACTGCACCCCCTCCTCAGCTCTCTCTGGCTCTGGGTGAGCCAGCATGAAAGCTTGAGCTGCCCGGATCAAGTCCTCTTCCCGAAGGCCTGGGACAGGCACGGTGGGGATGCCAGCGATCATCATGGCCAAGGTCAGGATGCAGATGTCAGACTGGGTGCCGCTGGCCTCCTTCCCCTCTGCCTCGGAGGGCACTGGCAGAACCCCTGGCGACACCCCACACAGCAGCAGGGGCCCAGGCCTGCTGGGGCCACCCACGTGGGGAGCTCTGCTTCTGGAGCAGCCACTCTCCCAGCCCAAACTCTCTGGTGGCCTCATGAGGCAGAGTTGGTGGCAGTACCGGCTGTACTCCTTCCTTGGTAGTGTCTCCCAGCTAGCACCCCCAGGGCAGTGCCTGCCTTCAGGTTCTGCCTGGGTGCCAGGTACCACCTGCTCAGCTTTCTGGCTCAGAGGGCCTGATCCACCAGAGGCCACCACCACTGGCTCTGCAGGACTATAGAGACCAAGGGAGGAACCCGGAGAAGCAGCCCCACCTGCAGAGACAGGAAGGAGATGGAATGTTATTTTTAGCCTCCTTGAGGAAGAGGCCCTGAGGGGCAGGGCTTGGGAATAGGAACAATTAAGATCAGCCCAAGAAGGGCTGTCCAGAGGTTGGGACCTATGTTAGTCATACCCAGCCTCTAGTCCCCAACACTCAGCAGGTGATAGAGGAGTGCTGAATGAATAATAATGAGTAATTAGTAATTAGTAGGGACTTTTAAAATGCCTTTTCTTGATTCCAAGGCCAGTCCCCAAATGCCCAGCGGAACTCCACCTCCCCAGAGTCAGGAAGCAATTTCACATGAGAAGTTGCAATACCCCCTCTGGTTCAAGAAGCCCCTCTCACCTTGGCCAGAAGGCAGAAGACCTGGATGAGCTTGTGGAGACCGGAAGTAAGACATGGCTGTCCCAAAGCTCCCGTCTATGAAGGAATAGTTATATGCCTTCTAGCCTACCCTCTCCACCCTCCTAGAATGTTACCTCACAGTCCCACCCCTTTACATATACAACCTACCTCAGGCCATCGACCTGTTCATTCTAGAACCTTACATGACAATGAGATGGTATTACAAGCACCCTGGACCAGGACCACCATGTTCTAGATTCTTACTCTTACCTTAGTCAAGTTCGTAGGACAGTTTTGTTCCTCAGTATACTCATCTGTAATATGGGAGTGATGACTGCCCCCTAACTCACCAGTTGTGAGGATGAAATGAGAGCTAGATGAAAGCAAAGGATCAGCGATACAAAGAAAAGAGTCTGAGGCCAGCTTGATGGTGCACACCTGTAATCCCCGTACTCAGGAGGCTGAAGCAAGAGGACAAACACATTTACATCTCCGGGCCTCAGGGTTCCCCTCCGCAAAATGAAATAGTTGTACTAAGGATCTAATTCTCAGCCTATGAGATATATTTGAATCTCTTTGTGTGCTTCCCCGCCCCCCCTTTGGGTGCTTTAAGAAATTCTTGTGTTGTCTTTTGAGATGGTTGTGTTCAGGCTGGCCACACCAGGCATGGAACTTTGAGAAATTCTGGTTTTTTGTTTTATTTTGGTTTTTTTGTGCAGGGTTTCACTATGTAGCTCAGACTCCTGAGGTGATCCTCCTGATTTCTGCCTCCCTAGTGCTGGGATTACAGACATGTGCCACCATGCCTGGACTCCATCGCTGGCTCAGCATGCCCCAGGATGGAGCCAGCATGGCATGTGGTGCCAGGGATTGAACTCTGGTCCCTGAGCTTACCTAAGAAGCAATTAGTCCACTGAGCTATACCGCTGGCCAAGAAATTTGAATGTCCAGATTAATAACGGTGAAATCAGAATCCCAGGGTCAGGCTCAGGTGAGTATTTCTCAAGCAATGATGCTGTCAAAGTTGAAGTTTTCATCTAAAGAAATTTGTCTCAACCTGGGCAGTACATTTGAATCAACAAGAGGAGCTGAATATGGTGGTACACACCTGTGATCCCAGCACTGGGGAGGCTGAGGCAGGATTGCTTCAAGTTCCAGGCTAGCGTGGGCTGCATAGTGAGTTCAAAGACAGGCTGAACTACAAAGTTGAGACCCTGTCTGTCTGTCTGTCTGTCTGTCTGTCTGTCTGTCTCTCTCTCTCTCTCTCTCTCTCTCTCTCTCACACACACACACACACACACACACACACACCCCAAGAGGGCCTTTTACCAAAAAACAGTATGTATGCCTCCCCTGACAAGTTGAAGGAGAACTTCTAGAGATAAACAGAATTTCTAGAGTTATGTAAGTGCAGATAACTCTTACAAGTGGCCAGGCTTGGAATCCCCAGGTTAGGTGGTTTCTAAAATGTGCCCTTTACTATGTTCTGCTAACCTGCAGTGATTCTCGAATTGCCTCTCACAGGATGCAAGGGCAAAGGGATGATCCAAAGACCAGAAGAACGTCACCTCTGCTGTTTATTGCTGGTCCTTGTTGGCAGCACTGGGACCAGGACATGCTCCCACACACTGGGTAGCCTCAGACCTTCATTCATACTTGCAGAATTCCTTAAGTCCCCTGGGCAGGTGGAGCCTATCAATAGCCAGCCGGTGCACCACACTCCTCTGGATCACCAGGCGGCACAGAGTCTGTAGGGATGGCACTGTGGAAAGAAGGCAGTCACAGGCAAACTGGCCTGAAGGATGGGTCTGAGGCAAAGACCCCAGATATCTAGGTTTTGGTCCCCACTTTCCCATCAACTTGAGCCAGTCCCTTTCACTGTCCAGGTCAGCGCGCTTCATGGGGCTGCTCCTATGCTTGAGAAAAAGCAGCTTGCACAAGCTGCAGCCCTGTTTCTGTTACAGTGCAGCACAATCCCTTCCCCTCCCTTAGCAGAGTATGGAGGCAGGAAGATGTGATTTGTCTATTCAGCCCAGGCCTGGCACAGAGCAGGTTCTGGTTCACTAAATTCCTGAAATGTGATCGGAGCTATAAATAAAGCTCAACAGAGCTGTAATAAACCAGTTCTTAAAAAAAAAAAAAAGACCTCAGAATTTAAAAGCTCTCAGTGTGGGATCCGTCTGTAGTGTCTAAACTAATCCAAACTGATGAGCATTTTTTTGGTAAAAGAACACAATTTTTTAAAATGTATTTAATACAGGGTCTACAGGGTCTCACTACACAGACTAGACTTGTGATTCTCCTGTTTTCAGCCTCCCAAGTGCTGGGATTACAGGTGCACGCCACCATGTCCAGTCTCAGTCACCGTCTCAGCGCGCCCTGGGAGTGGGGAGGGCACAGCACACCAGGGATCGAACCCTGTCACTGTGCTCTGCCTAAGCAGGTGCTTTAGTCCACTGAGCTATCTGTCCAGCCCTAGACCATAATTCTTGAGGCCCAATATAAAAAATCAGTTTAGACTGATTCTCTAGGTTAATATAGAAAACAAGTATCAAAACTAAAAGGGACCTGCTGAGCAATTTTAACCCGTTGATGTGGGTATGCTCATCTTGAGCAAAATCCAAAGCAGAGGTGTGAATTGAAGCCAGATTCTCCTACTTCTATTTATGTTATTTCTTTGGTACAGGATCTCACTAGGCAGCTCAGACTCATAGTGATCCTCCACTCAGCCTCCCCAGTGCTTGGCTCAGCGTGGGGCCCACATAGCACGTGGGGGTCCTTGCACTTGCCAGGCAGGCACTTAGACTGCCAAGCTATCTCCCCAGCCCCTAGATTCTCTTACTTCTAACAGAGGCTGGCCAGACCAAATCCTAGCTAGCTGGCTAGGGAGTCCTATCAAGCTGTTCTCAACCCAGGTGGCAGTTTACCTGTAATCCCAGAGACCAAATTCAAGAAAGGGCTGAGGGTGTAACTCAGGGCCAAAGCCTCTGAACGAAAAAAAAAAAAAAGTTTCTGTCCTCTCACTTCCCAGGAAGGTCATTGCCCCTGGAGTGGGATACCTACAGCCATACTCCAGTTGGACCAGGCGCACGCTTTTGGTGGAGGCAAACACGTCCACCACGGCATAGAGAGGCTGGGCAGCTGGCAGCCCCCTCGCGCTGGGGCCCATGTCCTCGCCATTGATGATGATGTGCATGTCTGCGGTGCCATCTGGGTGCGGGCAGAAGAGAACGCCCAGGCGGCTGCGGCGAGCGGTAGGAGGCAACACATTCAGTTCATAGAGCTGGTCCAAGAGATGACTATATAGTCCAGGCTGGCTTCGGCCCACCAGGCGGTCCCGGGGAATTCGGAACTGCTCAATGCACAGATAAGGCTCCACCAGGAGGGATGGGGGTTGGCTGGGGGCCACTGCCTCTGCCTCTGCCTGGCCCTCCCGGGGCACACGGTTGTGGTGGCGCGTGATGGCGAAGACCCAGGTGTGGCCCAGGCTGACCAGGTCAGGTAGCGAAAACTCTGGCACAAAAGCCAGACTGGCAGGATCCAGCGCAGTCAGGCCAAGACGCAGATGCCCACACCAACCCAGCTCTTTTTCCTCGATCTCGACCAAGAATATCTGGCCAGGAGCCAGAGGATCGCGACTGAAGCACACACCGTGGGCGAAGCTCTCCACTCGTGTGGCCTGAGTCCCTGAGGGGTCCACGCGAATGTTGGCTCCGTGCACCCGGTGGAAGCGGGTGGGAGGGGGCTCTGGGCACGAGGGTCCCCAGGGAGCACCCAATTGCACGGAGTGAGAGGCAGCAGCCATTGCACGGTACACTGGGAGGCCAGCAGGCGGTCCGGACTATTTTGGGCGGCGGGCTCAGTTGAAGAACTCGGGGGACCATGTAAGGTATTTCCCATCCCACCCCCCTCGACTCCCTTCTCCGAGACTCTGCCCGGGGGTCCTAGCGCCGCTTGCTCAGGGATCATGTCCAGGACTGGGTCTCTCGAGGGGCTGGAGGAAATTCCCCTTCCACGCTTAAATCATCTAATAGCTAGCGCAGCGACCTCTACGGACTGACCCTTCTGAGTCCGGCAAATGACCGCTCCGCCCCGCCCCCGAGGCCCCAGCGGAACTGAGGAGTCGTCACGTGAAGCCGGGGCTCACATGACCCGGAGTACACATGACTTCAGTTTCCCGGCGCCTCCTAGAGAGCAAAGGACGCTAGGGAGCCGAGGTGAGGGAACTCGGGAGCGGGAAGGGATCTGGGATTCCGGGGTGGTGGGCGGCGGTGGCAGCCCTGCGGGTGGGTGCGAGCGCCTGGGCTGGGCATTTTCTGGAGGATGCACACAGCTCCTCCCCAGGGACTGCTGTCCTCAAGCGCATGTGAGCGACAGAGCTGGTAAACATCGGGCGCCCGTTGCTTCCTTCTCAGATGGCCCGAACCGCGCTGTCATCGCTGTTCTTGTTGGTGCTCGCATCCTCGGTGTCCCGAGGCGGAGCAGCCCCGGACCAAGACGAGATCCAGTGCCTCCCGGGACTGGCCAAGCAGCCGTCTTTCCGTCAGTATTCTGGCTACCTCAGAGCCTCGGACTCCAAGCACTTCCACTACTGGTCTGCGGCGCTGCACCCCGGGGCAGGGGGGAGGTGGCACTTACACTGCCCACCAGGGCCAGGAGGGCGGGGCGGAAGGTTGTGAAGACCTCAGAGGGCGTCTGGAGGGCGGGAGGGCTGGAGGGGGCCCCTCCATGTGCACCAGCCCTGCCCTGTCCCCCATCCTAGGTTTGTGGAGTCCCAGAAAGATCCAAAGAACAGCCCTGTGGTGCTTTGGCTCAACGGGGGTCCGGGCTGCAGCTCCCTGGATGGGTTCCTCACAGAACACGGGCCCTTCTTGGTAGGTAGAAAGAGGAGGGTTGGGAGAGGGGAGAAAGTCTGTATGGGTTTCCAAAATGTCCTCGTTCTTTTTGAATCTTGGTGGTCTTTTCATCCCTATCAGTATCTCAGCTTGAGGGAGGGGCCAGGGAAGGTCCCCAGATGTAAAGGGCCTACTACCATGGCCCTTTTCCTCCATTTAGCTGGACTTTAAAACTCAGCCTTATCTTTCCTCAGATCCAGCCAGATGGTGTAACTCTGAAGTACAACCCTTATTCTTGGAACTTGGTACGGACAGAGCAGTGAGTCCCCCAGGGATATCTGGGCACCTGGTTGGACTGAGGAACCCTCTTCAGGTCATTTCCTTCCTCCTCCCTAGATCGCTAACATGTTATATATCGAGTCCCCGGCTGGGGTGGGCTTCTCCTACGCTGATGACAAAGTTTTTACAACCAATGATACCGAGGTGAGTCTGGTACCTGCCCACCTACCTCGTCCTCCTTGGGGTTCTCCAAAGGTGGCGTAAGGAGACACATGACCTCAGAGTGCATTTTGGCTGTCCTATGCTGGGTGACAAGTCATTTCCTCTTGCACAAACTGGGTTGAGTTGATTTCATTATCTCCAAGGATCTTTTTAGTTCAAGTGGTAAAGTTTCGACTTCTCTATCCTGCCATCCCCAGGTTGCTCAGAACAATTTTGAGGCCCTTAAGGATTTCTTCCGCCTCTTTCCGGAGTACAAGAACAACAAACTTTTCCTGACTGGCGAGAGCTATGCTGGCATCTACATCCCCACCCTGGCGGTGCTGGTCATGCAGGACACCAGCATGAACCTTCAGGTGCAGGCTAGCTGCAAGAGGGAAGGGAGGCCTTCTGTGGCTGGAGCCTTGCAGTTAGGAAGGTCACCCAGGTCAACGCTGCCCTCTTGCCACCAGCCATCCTGTATCTGTTTATATGTTCCTACCAAGGGAAGCTCAGCTGGCGGAGTGCCAGCTCTTGGTATTCCTTGAGTGGCCTCCTCCACCCACTACCTCCACAGTCCACCCTGGGCCTCAACCTCCAGATTGCAAAAGGGCTGGGTGTAGGTCAAGGGAGGTTCTTCCTCATCCTTACCCTCCAGATGACTTGAGTACCCTGAATCCTTCACAGGGGCTGGCTGTGGGCAATGGACTCTCCTCTTATGAGCAGAATGACAACTCCCTGGTCTATTTTGCCTACTACCATGGCCTTCTGGGAAACAGGTATGTGTGAGGATCAGTTAGGCAATCTTTAAAGTGGGGCTGGTCATGAAATAGCACATGGATTCCAGACTTTGCCCTGGTTTATGCCCAGGTGGGGACTGAAGTTGCCTTAAGGTTTGGTACTAAATGGCTAAGAATAGTCATCTGAATCTAAAGGAACTAAGGAGGGCTCTCTGTATAGCTCAGAGGAGGTTCTGTGGAGGCTGATTGGTGACCCATATACCACACCCTGTGATATCTTTCTCTGTCACTTGGGGTCAGGTCTTGGTGAGCAGATGAAGGGTGGAGAGGGGACATGTGCCATCTGTGCCCAGCATGGGCCTAAGCACTTTTCCTCTGATGTCCTACAGGCTATGGTCTTTGCTCCAGACCCACTGCTGCTCTCAGAACAAGTGTAACTTCTATGACAACAAAGATCCAGAGTGTGTGACAAATGTGAGGTTCTGCCTCTGCTTTGCTTTAGTCCTGCCGTTCCTAACCTTGAGAAGAATCACATCCCCTCCTTGGAGAGTTCCTGTCTCTGGGTTGTGTTGTTTGGTTGCGTGCTTTTCTTGTCTTTCTTTTTTTTTTTGGGGGGGGGGGCAACAGGGATCAAACTCTGTACCTTGTGTTTGTCATGCAGTCACTTATCTCTCCAGCTCTTGGTTGCTTGCTTTTCTTCTTGAATTATTAACGAACCCCAGGCCTCCTTCCACATGCTAGATAAGCACTGTACAGCTGGGCAACACCCCCAGCCTTTTTAAAAAAATTTTGAGATAAGCTCTAACTTGCCTGGGTTAGCCTCAAACTTGTGGCCCTCTTGCCTCAGCCTTCCCAGTAACTGCAATTACAGGCATGAGCCACCACACCCACCCAACTTTGCTTTTTTTTTTTTTTTTTTGCGACAGGATCTCAATATGTTGTTCAGGCTGGCCCTGAACTCACTAGTTTGCCTACTTTAAGCTAGCCTCCAACTCATGGTGCTCCTTCTGCCTTGGCCTCCCCAAAACTTGGGATGTGCAGGCACATACAATCATGCTATGCCTGACCCCTCATGGCTTTTCTAAGCTTCACCTTTTGGCAGTGGTCCCTGAGATGGCCAGGAAGGAAACTGAGGCCCAGCCTTTTTAAGTTACCTGCTTTAGCTCATAACACTAGGAAATAGTGCTGGGAATTGGATGGAGGTCCGGAAGAGTTCTTCCTATAAGCTTCAGTTTCCCCACCAGTGAAAAAGGTGAAGCATCTTGGGGTAGGTAGGTGACACTGTGGCAGGCCATGGATCTGTGAAGTGTGCTGTTGTGTTGTTACAGCTTCAGGAAGTGTCCCACATCGTGAGCAACTCCGGCCTCAATATCTACAACCTCTACGCCCCGTGTGCTGGGGGTGTGCCTGGCCATGTTAGGTAGGCGCTGCTGTGTGCCCCTTGGGCCAGCCCCAGTCCATGAGAGGCTCAGCACCCATCCCCTACTTCACTTGCAGGTTTGACAAAGGCACTACAGTGATTCAAGATTTAGGCAACATCTTCACTCGCCTGCCGCTCAAGCGGACATGGAATCAGGTGCACACAGGCATGGGCTTCCTCCCTGTAGAGTGGGCAGGGAAGGCAGGTGAAGACCCTAACCCTGTGGCTTCCCCCTAGGCCCTGCTGCGTTCTGGAAACAAAGTCCGAATGGACCCCCCCTGCACCAACACCACAGCTCCCTCTACCTACCTCAACAACCCATACGTGCGCAAGGCCCTCCACATCCCTGAGCAGCTGCCCGCCTGGGACATGTGCAAGTAAGTTTCTGTGGCCATCGTGCCAAGGCACTAACTGGGTTCCCAGGGATCTTTTGTCTGGGGTTTCTCCAGTGGGCACTGTGGACCTTCAGGGTATGAAAATTAGCTGCTGTGCAGGATGTTGAAGTCTTAATCTCCAAACTGAGGGACACACAGCCCATTCACACATCAGTGGTCACCGTGGGTGGTAGCATCAGTTGCTCTTGTGACATTTAGGGAGTGGACATGGGCCCCACTCCATTGCCTTCCCATCAGTAGTGGTGCCTGGCACAGTGAAGGCTATACAGCTCTGCTGTGCCAGTCAGTGCCCATGCTGTCCTTTTGCTATATGCTGTGACCTTTGCCCCGCTGGCTCCTAACCCTTTATGCCACTTGTGTTCCAGTCACTGTAACAATCGAAAGGTGTCATGTTTCTAAGTGGGGGTGGCTGAGGGCTTCTGAAGGCCACCCTCATCCAGCTGAGTCCTAGAGAAGTGATGTAGCTGAAAGCCCAGCTGTCTGATTGCTAGGTTGGAGGTTGAGAGAGAACAGAACTGATCTCTTGGCTTTGGCTTTTTTTGTCTCGCTCTGCTGTCTGGTCTTCCCGTGCTCCTTGCAGCTTCCTGGTGAATTTACAATATCGCCGTCTCTACCAGAACATGAACTCGCAGTACCTGAAGCTGCTTAGCTCACAGGTGTGTGGGGACAGCGAGCTGGACCTGCCAGCAGTCACAGGGCCTAGAGTAGTACAGCAAGCAGAGGGCCCCTTGAGGCTCTGTTTGGGACTAGAGAGGCTAGGCCTTAAGAGGCAAAAAGCCTTTTGCCCAAGGTCCTGTGGTTGACAAGGTCACAATTTGGACACTAGTTTGTCTCTACCTCATGCTGCTCCACAGGTCAGGGGGCCTTTGTGGTCCTTTAGAGTAGGGCTACCTGGGTTGTGTCCCAGATAGGCAAATAAAGGGTTGGGGTAGGAGATAGCCTTGCCTAAGGTTATGTGAGGCCAGCAACAAATCTTTTTAGTTTGTTTAGCTGCAAGTTCTCAATAAAATATGCTTCCGGGGTAAAATGTTTCCTCAGCGCTCGCTGGAGGGGTAATAAACAGCCACCATAAGAAGTTCCCGGACACACTATTTAGCTGAATCCCCTGAGGGGTAGAGCTTGTACCGGGACAGAGCTGGCGCCTGGGTGTATTCTGGATCTCCTATTTACCCCCTTATCCTTCCTGCTCCAGAAGTACCGGATCCTGATATACAATGGAGACGTGGACATGGCCTGCAATTTCTTGGGGGATGAATGGTTTGTGAATTCCCTCAATCAGAAGGTAAGGCAGGGATTTCCAGGCTTCCTGGATAGGGCTGAGTATAGGGGTGGATGTTCCCAGGAGCAGCTCTGTTCACAGAGGGAAAACCCAGCAAATAGTTCCTGCGACCCAGGTCTGGCTGGCAGCCATGGGCAGGGCTGAAGGTGCCACAGGCTGACGTCTTTCCTGGTGGGACAGATGGAGGTGCAGCGCCGGCCGTGGCTAGTGGACTATGGGGAGAGTGGGGAGCAGATCGCTGGCTTCGTGGAGGAGTTCTCTAACATCGACTTTCTCACCATCAAGGTAGGGCCTGGCCCATCCATCCATCCATCCATCCATCCCCTCTGGCTGCCTTTTTGTTCTGGGTCACCCTTGGCCTCTGGAAGGGCAGGTTTTCAGGGAGGGAAGGCTAGGATGAAGGAAGCAGTGGTGGAGCCAGATGCCCACGGAGCACTGTTTCCCCAGGGTGCTGGACACATGGTCCCCACGGACAAGCCCCTCGCTGCCTTCACCATGTTCTTCCGCTTCCTGAGCAGGGAGCCGTACTGATGACCGAGGGAACCAGTTAGAGCAACTCACTGGTGACCAGCCCTGCCCTCCTCAGGGTCTGCCACTAGGAAGGGGGTTTGGCCTCCTGGGGGGAAGACTTCCCCCCCGCACGCCCGTACTATTCCCATCTTCCCACGCCCTGTGGGTTGCAGCCTGGGCCCAGCACCTCAGCCAGCAGGGGGCTGGTGAGCACTTTATCCCTGCCACAGTCCGGGCCTGAGTGGCATGGCCCCATCCCTGCTAAAAGAAAACCCTTCCTGATCCACTGACCCCTTCCCACCATCCCAATACAGCTCTCAGGACAGCCCAGGGGGAGAGATGGACGGATTGTAATTGACAGATAAACTGATTATGGAATTAAACTGGGCACAGCTTCAAACCCTGTCTTCTCTGTGGCACTGGGGACTCAAGGGACCCTACGGGACTATGGAGGAGCAGAGGGAAGGATTGAGAGGGCTGCAGTCCTGACCAGCAACTACCAGGGTGGGGAGTGAGGGCTCAGGCAGCTGCCGAGGAGGGTGGAGGGGCACTGGATGCCTGGGCATCTCTGGTATTGGCAGGCCGGTTCTTTTCAATCACCTCTCGCAGTCCTTTGGCAAAGTGGAGGTCAGCCCCGATGGTGAGGAAGCCCTGTGTGAAGCAGAGAGGGGTCTCATTCATTCTTGCCTTTACCGAGGCAGAGTCTCTAAAGATAGAGGCAGGGCCCCTGGCCTTGTCAGGGGGTGGGAGGTGGGGGTGTCCTCCATCTAGTGGGAGAGTGGTTCTGTGGAAGATGCGGAGAGAGGCTATAGAACCACAGACTGAGCATCAAGAAGGGCTTCCAGGAGGAGGTGACCTCTCAACTAACATCTGAAAAGATTGGCATCACAAGAAGGTGGGGGGGGGGCTGGTGAGATGGCTCAGTGGTCTAAAGCACCTACTTAGAACAAGCTTAGCAAAGCACAGGGACCGCGGTTCAATCCCCCAGTACCACATGCCAGCCAGCCCCGCCCCCTGGTGGGCTGAGCTGGCCACACACACACACACACACACACACACACATAAATAAATAAATAAAATTAAAAAAAAAAAAAAAAAAAGAAGGCATGGCCTGGGGCAAGGCATAGAGGAAGGAGCCTGAAAGAAGACTACTTAGGCAAGAGCCTGGGGAGCTGTAGGGAGTGGGATGCCCTTGCCCCCTTCCTGCTCACAGCCCTGCTCACCGCATGGTTCGTCACCACCTCACGCACGAAGGTGATACCCTCCGGCAGAGGGATCTGCACTCCCCTCCAGGTCCGCTCTGTGGGTGTGAGGGCTGCCTTAGTCTGGGCTCCCCCAGCTCGCCCCCTCCCCATCCCACCTCCCCTCCAGCCCTACCGTTGAGCATGGGCATCACCCCGATCTGCAGCAGGGCCTTCAGAGGGGCCTGCAGTGGGATCAGCTGAACAGGAGAGAGGCAAAGGGTGGGCAGGCATGGGGCAGGGGCTCCTCGGCACAGCGAGCCTGCCCCACCCGGCCTCCCGCCCTCCTCAACTCACAGCCAGAGACTCCAGTGCAGACTGGTTTGAGTAGATTCGGAACCTGTGAGGGTGAGAAAAACAAGAGCCCGGTGGGTACAGAGCCTGAGCCCGGAGGCCTGTGGGCCCAAGGAGCCTGGGTTTCAGGGCTCCTCTGGGCTCCTCTGGGCTTCCCCTGGTGCTCACTCAGGTGTGCAGTCACTTCTGCCTCCTTGGGGCTCCTTTTCTGCAGAGCCACTACTTTTATTTGTCAAGTGCCTCTCTACTACAAAATTCCATCAACGCTCTGCATGATGTGCTGCTTAACAAAACTCAGTGCTTACTCCGTCCAGACACTGCCATCTGTGTTTAAAAAGTTAAATGCAACCGAATGCCATGGCATACAACTGTGAGACTGAGCATAAGGATCCCGCCTCAGGTCCAGGCCAGCCTGAGCAACTTAAGAGACTGTCTCAAAATTTTTTAAAAAGACTAGAGATATAACTCACTGATAAAGTGTTTGTGTAGCGTATGTGTGAGGCCCTGGGTTCAACCCCCAGTACCAGAAGAAAAAAAAAAAATCTTTTTTTTTTTTTTTGAGGCAACATCTTGCTAAATTGTCTTGTAGTCCTCCAGCATGCTGGGCTGATAGGCCTGTGCCACCATGCTGTTATGATTTGTGTCTAGTTGTCCCACCAAAGCCTCATGCAGTCATGGGGGCGGCTTCTAGAGTTTATGATTAATTCATGATCCAGTGCTGGGATTATGGGTGTGAGTGCTGCTGGGATTATGTGTGTGAGTACTACACCTGCCGTGGGGCAGATAGCCTGGCTGCAGTATAAGGAGGGAGAGGCTAGCCCTGTGCTGCTGCCCTTCCCATTGGTTGTTGCTATTTTCTGCCACCATGAACTACTGCCCTCTGCCATGTACCTCCCTGCCTTGGAGCCAGCTGCGTATGGACTGTAAGCTAAATAAACCTTTCCTCCTTTAATTTTGGGGGTCAGGTATTTTGTCCCAGCACCAAGTGAAAAGTAACAGAGACACACCTAACTAAAATACCAATTAATTTAGTCTTTCTAACAACTCTAAGAAGGAAACAAAACAAAAACAACCCTAAGAAGAAGTTTCCAGGTGTGGCAGTGCATGTCTGTAAACCCAGCACGCTGGAAGGCTGCAGCAGGACCGCTGCAAGTTTGAGTCCAGCCTGCACTATACAGTAAGACCCAGTCTCAAAAAACCAAAACAGGGGGGCTGGTGAGATAGCTCAGTGGTCTAAAGCACCTACTTAGAAAAAGCTAAGCAAATCAGAGGGACCGCGGTTCAATCCCCCAGCACCACATGCCAGCCAGCCCTGCCCCCTGGTGGGCTGAGCTGGCCACACACACACACACACACACACACACACACACACACACACACAAATAAATAATTTAAAAAACCAAAACAGGGAGAGAGAGACACTACCAAAAACTGCCCTTCATAGATGACATTAAAGTCCATGGAGGTTAAGTAACCTCTTATGTCACACAGCTGAAATACCAGAACTTGCCTATAAAATCTAATTTTCTTTTTCTTCTCTGAGTATGGGGATTCAAACTCTAATTTGCAGTCTTGTTTTTTTATTTTTTATTTTGGCGGAAATGGGGATTGAACTCAGACCCTTGCGCTTGCCAGGGAAGCACTTACTCTACTGAGCCATCTCCCCGGCCCAGTCTTGTTTTTTATTTTGTGATATTGGAGATTGAACCTGCAGCCTTCGTAGAGAGCTCCATCCTCAGCCCTATTTTATTTTGTGACAGGGTCTTGCTAAGTCTAAACTGCCCACGTGGGGCTCAAATTTGCAATTCTACTTCAGCCTCTCAGAGTGATGAAAGTACAGACATGCATCACCAAACCTGCTTCCAGTCCTCTTTTTTTTTTTTTTAGGGGGATGGGAAAGGGTCTCGTTTTGAGACCTTTGAGCTGGCCTTGAGCTTACTTTGTGTGAGCTTACTCACAGTGATCCTCCTGCCTCAGCCTCCCAAGTACTAGGATTACATGTGTGTAACAGCATGCCTGGCTCAGCCCTCACTTAGAGCAGCCCCATAATAGCACCATGGGATAAAACTTTGGAAATGTTCTGTGTTTTCAGTGTCCACCGTGGTAGCCTATAACTGTATGTGGCTAATGAAATGTGGCTTAGTGCAACTAAAGAAGTATTCAGTTATGCAAAAATTAAGTATAAATACTATACCGTATTGCACATGACTGATGGAGACATATGGAAGAGCACAGTCTAGAAAGTGACATTTTATCTGTATTTCACAGGTGTGTGTGTGTATGAAATTCAAAAGGATAAAATAACTGGCTTCAAGGCCACAAAGTTATTTACTTGAGGTTTCTGCCCAACTCACATTCTAAACCTCTTTGGTGTGTGACTGTTGTCATGTCAACGCAACTTTGCCTGCCTCTAAGGTTGCTGGATACAAGAAAGGAGACACGAGAAAGGTGTGCTGGCACATGCCTATAATCCCAGCACTCAGGTGGCTGGAGAACTCAAGGTCAGCTTGGGCTACACAGTGAGTTCAAGGGCAGCCTGAACTACATAGCAAGACGCTGTTACAAGAAAAAAAAAAATGTACTTTTGGCTGGAGGTGAAGACACATGCCTGTATCCTAGCACTTGGGGCAGGCTGAGGCAGGAGGATTCTAAGTTCCATTTAGTGAAACACAGTTGCAAAGTGTAAGGGTGGAGGCTATAACTCGGGAAAGGCCCTGGGTTCGATTCCTTGGGTGCACTTTGGGGCTAGAAGCGCAGCTCAGTGGTTGAGTGCTTACCATGCATGTGGCCCTGGGTTTAATTCTCAGCACTCCAAAAAAAGAAAGAAAAAAAACATGTCTGCATTGACAGAGACAGACCTCATCTTGTCAGTGGCTTCTGGATATGGTTTAACATTAGCTCCACTGTTGTATGGGGCAGATGTGATTATCCTGAAAACATTAAGGTACCGTGTGGTCAGGGCCCTGCACACGTCCTCACCACCTACCTACCTGGCAAGTTCCAGCTGGGCCCGCAGCGCCTTGCCCCGGAGCGCCATCTTGGCACTGAGACGCACGTCCTGTGATCAGGTACAAGGGCTGTGTTATGGGCTGGAAATGTCCACAGCCCCCTTCTCCCTGCTCCCTGGCAGCTCCCTGCCTGGGGCCCGCACCATGATCATGCTGGACAGTTGGACTTCCAGTAGGTTGGGTGGGGCCAGGGAGATGGTGACACTGGCAGTGACCGAGATGGTGGTGCCTGAGGGTTTGATAGTGCAGCGCGGTGGGGCGATGGCCCGAAGCTCCAACTTCAGCGGGGAATCAATCTCTGCGGGAGTCTAGGAACAAAGTAAGGAGGGGCAGGTCATGTCCAGTCTGCTGCTTGGAGAACCCCATGCCTCTGTCCTTTGGGCTATACAAAGGAATGTCTCCTTTCTCTCTTTTAGTTTTTTGAGACAGGGCTGGCCTTGAATTTATTATGTAGCCCAGGCTGGCCTTGAACGTGGGGCAGTTCTGCCTCAGAGATTCCTGAGTGCTGAGATTACAGGTATGCATCACTTTACCCAACTGCTGCTTGCCTAATACTTCCTTGTTACCATTCAGGGTCCATCCTTAGCCAGGTCTAAGGACAGTCTTTGTGCACTAATGTCTCAGCCCTGTTAACCACTTTCTGTGCTTCTAAAGACATGTAGGAATCCTGTTAAATTCAAGTGCTTGCTCATCTGCAAATGTGAGTCAGCACATGTGCTCACCCAACCCTCACAATAACCTTGTGAACCAGGCAACGTTAGCGCCATCTTTTTTTTTTTTTTTAAATGTATTTAGTTGTTGAAGGGTCTCACTATGAAGCTCCGACTCCTGGTGATCCTCCTGCTTTCAGCCTCCCCAGCACTGGGATTACAGGCATGCACCACTACACCTGGCCGCTGGCTGGCTCAGTCTGCCCTGGGGGTGGGGCTGGAGCAGCATTTGGCGCCCGGGTGAACTGCGGTCCCTGTGCTTGCCTAAGTTTGCCTAAGCAGGTGCTTTAGTCTGCTGAGCTATCTCGCTGGCCCTATCTCCATCTTTGGGGTTAGTTGTCCATACACAGTTGCAGAACCAAAATTGAACAGAGTCTATGCTCTTAACTGTTTGACCACCAGTTTTATGATAGTGATGGTGATGACCACAGTAATAGGAGCTGGCATTCATTGAGTACTTGCTCTGTTCAGGTGCTGTTCTAATTACTTTATTTTATTTTTTTTTAATTGACCTTAAGGAGATGAAGATAGACTTTATTTTTTTTATTTTTTTAAATTTATTTTTATTTGTGTGTGTGTGTGTGTGTGTGTGTGGCCAGCTCAGCCCACCAGGGGGCGCGGCTGGCTGGTATGTGGGGCTGGGGGATTGAACCGTGGTCCCTGTGCTTTGCCAAGCTTGTTCCAAGTAGGTGCTTTAGACCACTGAGCCATCTCACCAGCCCCATTACTTTATATGTTTAATCATTTTTATTTATTATATATTTAGTACAGGGTCTCACTACACAGATCAGACTCAGTAGTCCTCCTGTTTTCAGCCTCCCAAGTGCTGTGATTATAGGCACTCCACCACGTCCAGTCTCAGTCGCCCCAGGGACAGGACCAGGGCTGGCACAGCACACCAGGGATCTAACCCTGGTCGCTGCACATGCCTAAGCAGGTGCTTTAATCTGCTGAGCTATCTGGCCAGCCCTATATGTTTAATCTTAATGACATGTTTCATTTAATCAATTTGGGTAAGATGGAGTCAGATTCCAAGCCAGATTCAAATCCCAGCTCTTAACATTTGCAAAATTGAACTGAGGACATGTCATTTAATAATAACTTGCTTTCCTTGAAGTCCCTGTACATACAAGAGTGGAGTTCTCTCCCGCCCTCACAGTGGCTCAGTGCCAGATACAAGACAGGAAATAGCATCCCCTTCCCAAATGTGGAAACAGTCTTGGCAAAGTAAGGGGGCTTGACCATAAGCAGCAGGTGGGCACTTGTGCTGAACCCCTCCCTGGTGTGTAGGTGGCTGCCCCAAAACCCTGGCCGTGCCCCTGCATCCCACCAGTACTCACCAGGAGGATAATGCTCCCAAAGAAGGTGGCCCTCAGCAGCACATCCAGATCCTTTGGCAGCTGAATGTGGGAATTGGGAAGAGACAGGGTCATTGGGAGCTCAGTTGGGGGCCGCTTGCGCATCCCACAGACAGGCCCTGGCCTACCTTCTCCAGTGACAGCCGAAAGGCTCCTGCCCGGAAGTAGCTCTCCAAGGCAGAGTCGAAGAAGAACTCAGAGAAGGCCACATACACCATCCGCTCCTCCTCCTGTAGCTGAGGCTCCACTGCCTGGTTGATGAAGCTCAAGTTCCCTTCAGCCAGGGGGAAGAATGCTCCCTGCAATTGGGGTTCAGGATCAAGGTCAAGGTCAAGGCAGAGCAGCCCTGTATCCAGACAGGTTGCAGGTGGTCTCCTTGCCTTATGCTAGTTCTAGGGAAACTCACAGGTACATCTCTTCAAAGCCATTGTAAGAGGGCTGGGGAGATAGCTCAGTGGAATAAGTGCTTGCCTGGTAAGCGCAAGATCCTGAGTGCAATCCATGGTACCGCAAAAAAAAAAAAAAAAAGCTATTGTAAGGAGCGGAGCTGGAGCACTGTAGGGAGTGACTCCATTGGCCCAGGGCAGGGAGGACCAGGGAAGGTTCCATGAGACAGGTGGCATCCGAGTGGGCCTTGGAAGCCAGGTGGCATCAGTGGACACGGTTACTACATGTGCATCATGGTTCTGTGCCAGGTGCTCTTTCAGCCCCTCTATGGAGATCAGCCCAAGTGGCAGCCCTGAGGTGTGTTTCTTCACTGTATATTCCCCTTTCCATATTAAGAAACAGGCCTAGGATGAACACTTCCATAAGGTCATGCAGCCAGTCAGGGGCAGAGCCAGGATTTCAGCCTCAGAGTCCTAGCCACAGAGCTTGTGCTCTGGAATTTGTGGCTACCCTCCAATGGGCGGAGCAAAGGTAGTAGCCACATGCTGGCTAGCTGTGCGGCCTGGAGGATGTGACATCAACCCCATTCTTCTTTTTGTGAGACAAGGTCTCCCTGTGTGGTCCAGGCTGGCTTCAGACTCACAATCCTCAGCCTGTGTCCCGCCCCCGCCCCCCTCCTCCTGGGGTTACAAATCTGTGCCACCACACCCAGCTTTTTGTTTGTGTTTGGAGATTAGATCTCACTGTGTAGCTCAGGCTGGCCTCAGAGTCCTTCCTTGGCTTCCCAAAAGCTGAGATCACAAGTGCCCACCAGTGCAGCCAGCTACCATCACGTCTGAGAAGGTTTCACGTCATCTCTAAAATGAGTCCAGGTGGCCGTTGGTCCTCCACAGCCACACATTCCACCAACTGCTGACAAAATCCCTGCATGTGTACCAAGCGTGTACTGTGTGGGTTTTTCTTGTCTTATTTCCTAAGGAATACAGTGTAACAGCTCTTTGCATAGTATTCACACTGTGCTAGGCATTGTAAATAATTTAAGGACTATTTAAAGTACACAGGAAGAACCAGGTGTGTAATCCCAGCACTCAAGAGGCAGGAGGACACTGGGTTCAAGACCAGCCTGCGCCGGGGAGATGGCTCAGTGGAATAAGTGCTTCCCCAGCAAGCTCAAGGAACTGAGTTCGATCCCCAGTTCCACAAAAA